CGCCTGTCTTCAAGGCGCGTTACGTGGCTCGTGGCTTCAGTCAGCGGCAGGGGGTTGACTACTTTCAGACCTTCTCCCCCACCCCGAAGATGACTACTCTTCGGGTTCTGCTGCACGTTGCTGCTCACCGTGACTACGAGCTGCACTCTCTCGACTTCAGCACAGCTTTCTTGCAGGGCAGTCTGCACGAGGAGATCTGGCTGCGTCGCCCACCTGGCTTCACTGGGTCTTTCCCTCCTGGTACCCAGTGGAGTCTCCGGCGTCCAGTCTACGGTCTCCGCCAGGCGCCTCGTGAGTGGCACGACACACTGAGGACTACGCTCGCGGCACTCGGGTTTGCTCCGTCTACTGCCGACCCGTCGCTGTTTCTGCGCACCGACACCTCTCTGCCGCCGTTCTACATCCTCGTGTACGTCGACGACTTGGTCTTTGCCACAGCTGACACTGCTGGACTCGCCTACGTGAAGTCCGAGCTGCAGAAGAGACACACGTGCACTGACCTGGGTGAACTCAGAGTACCTTGGCTTGCAGATCACCCGGGACAGAGCGCGCCGCACCATTACCCTGACTCAGTCACACATGGTGCAGCAGGTCCTTCAGCGCTTCGGTTTCACGTACTCCTTGCCTCAGGCCACTCCTCTGCCTACTCGCCACTCACTCTCAGCTCTGCCTTCGGATGAGTCCGTAGAGTCGAGTGGCCCGTTTGCAGAGCTTGTTGGCTGCCTCATGTACCTGATGACCTGCACACGTCCTGACCTTGCATACCCTCTTAGCATTCTCGCACGCTATGTTGCTCCTGGGAGACACCGACCAGAGCACATGGCTGCAGCGAAGAGGGTGTTGCGCTACTTGTGCAGCACGTCGGGCATGGGGCTAGTGCTTGGAGGGCGCAGTCCAGTGGTCCTCACTGGGCACGCAGACGCTTCTTGGGCTGACGACCAGGCTACGCAGCGGTCGTCACAGGGTTACACCTTCAGCCTTGGTTCCGGCTCTGTTTCGTGGCGGGCTACCCGCTCGTCTTCTGTTCTCGGCTCCAGTTGTGAGGCTGAGATCTACGCTGGGGCTATGGCTGCGCAGGAGTTACGTTGGCTCACCTACCTGCTGACCGACCTTGGAGAGCAGCCTCGTTCTCCTCCAGTCCTGTACGTAGACAACAAGGCCATGCTGGCCTTGTGTCGAGAGCAGCGACTGGAGCACAGAACGAAGCACATTGCTCTCCGCTACTTTCTTGCTCGTGAGCTACAGCAGCGTGGACAGTTGCGACTTGCGTACGTGGCCTCTGAGGCCAACACTGCTGATGTCTTCACCAAGGCACTTGCGCCTTGTGATCATCAGCGTTGTTGCACGCAGTTGGGTCTTGTGCCTGTCTTGCCTCACTTGCTCTCCTCTTGACCTTGCTTGTACCTTCGCCTATATATACTCTTGTTCTTGCTTGTTTGCCTCTTGTATATCTCTATATATGATCTTGCATGTGAACTGGCCTTCTGGCCTTTGAACTTGTGCTCGGAATGCGTGGTGACTTTGTGATCCACCCTGAGCTTTGCTCTGCTTTGCTTGACTGGTCTTGTGACCCCTTGTTCTCCCCCACTTTGCCTATGGGGGTGTGTCAGAACATATAGCTTACTTGTTTCTGTAGGGTCTAGTGGGGTATCCCATAAGGGGTACAACCCAATCAGGGTTTCCTATTTGTACTCACTTCGTTCATAGTCATTCCATTCTCGTTCAATTCTTCTCAAAACTACCGTACTTGCTTTAGAAGGTGCAACCTGTTGCTGCCAAAATCATGCAGGTAGGAGGAGTAGTATCTGTAGGCTACATGTACTCAATCGTGTGGTAGTAATGTCTTGTATGCAGTGAAAATTTCCAACAAACACAAAAATGTTCCGGACACCAAATGGATCTGCAGTTCAGTGGAGCAAAACATGGAGAAGTAGAGCAAAGAAAGAGACGAATGGTAATGAGAGCACCACGTTGGGAGCAATAAGGGGCCACTCCTGACCTTGAAAGCTGTTGACATACCGTATAGTCCATGCGGCTGGTTGAACGCATGTGTGAGGAGGGGTGTGAGGCATGGGCAACATTAGTGCCATGATAGTGAAACGAGCACAAAAAGATAAATCAGTGGTTGTAGTATGCATCAAAGGTTAGAACCAAGAAGACATGGAACCGGATGGAGTAGGAGCAGCCTGTATTTTGTTGCGAAGGGGATAATTGGGTAGTATCACAATGCATGCTAAGTCGACAAAGACGAACGAAGGGTTTACGAAAGATACCTCATGGTAAATGATAAATCAATGGTTTGCACTTGACTTACGCTGTCGCATGTACCGTTGATTCGCATGAGTGATGGCACTCGCACCTATTGGTGGTTGAGGTTGTGCTCGGAGGGGTCCACGACTCGGCTGACATCAAAGGGCGCCAAGGCCTCCTTTGGGGTCAGGCGCGGAGACACCACCATGGCCCTCTACTCGTATGGCACCAACTCCACACCAGTATCCTTCCCCAAAAGCACGTCCAGGAGCTGAGAGAACAAGGTTGGAATGAGAGGGGAAAATAATGCTCTATGATTGACTGAGGTGGAGGGTTTAGAATGACTAGACTGGGGAATTGAAGCATGAGGGCGTAAGATGGGCATTGAAGGGAGTAGGATGGGAGCATGGGACAAAGCTGGGAGAGGGCACACCGGGTCTGAAAGTGAAGATAGAGGGCAAAGCGAGAGATGCACATGTTATGGGTGAAGGCAGCACTGATATGGACAAGGATGGGCACTATTACCCTCAAAGGCGCTCACCGGCATCGCTGACATCTAAATTGACGCGGCGTGTTGGACAAAATGGTGATTTAGATCCCTCCACGTCGGCATAAGTGTTTCCAAAACGTTTACCGAGGATGGTTGGTGGCATCACCTGCAACATGATCGCAAGAGGGGAGCGTCAAAATATATTACATAAGACAAGAGTAAGGGTTGGCGAGAATGTGGTTCGCATCTTACATAAAATACGTCGCCCAGCACGGCGCGTCGAAGTAAGGCCGCGGACTATGCCACCTTCTCGCACAGGAGTAACCGGCCCAACAACAGATGGGTGTCGCCCTCCACAAGGTAAGTCGACAGGATGTTGCGCCTGCCTCTTTGGGGCCGTCTCCATAATCTCATCGTCGACTCCAAACCCCAGCGATCGTTGACAGTCCTCCATAATCCGATCAACCCAAGACCAATCCATAGGTCCGAGGGTTCGATCCTTGTTGCCCCGTCGCACCCGAGTTACTTGCCGTACACGAGTGCGATACGATGTGACCAGCCTGTCCATCGAGTTATTCCAATGCAGGACAGCCAGCCCCACTAATGCCTCAAGACTACCTTTGAACCTGATACGCTTAGCAGCGTATTTGATGATCAGGGAATGGAAAGACTCGTTTATGGAACTGTTTGCTCCGTGAACATAGGGTTTCACCTTGTCTGGCGAACACCGTTTCTTGAACCATGTAAGAACCGCCTTGTGCGTTTCCGATATAGGCTCATAAAGTGCACATTCCCTGCCCCACTTCTCGGTAACACACCTTGGAGGAATACTCCCGTTCCGTCCACACTCGGAGTGGTCACCTGCCCAGTGGTTAGGTGCCGTCCCAATTTCCTTTGCCACATCTTCGGGAGTCATAGGGGTGCCCGCTTTCAACAGCGCCGCGCAACGCATCATCACATGGAAGAAATGCGAGGCAAAGCGCTGCGCCACCGTGCTCTCCTCATCGCCGGCGTTTATCTCATCTCCGCCCCGTTTTCGTCGCCCAGTCCAACGGGGCAAATTCTCTCCGACGTCACTTCCGTGGTTGTCGGTCTCACCCGCTGCACCATCGTTGTTGCAGCCAGTCATCGTCTCTGTCAGGTCAAAACGAGCAGTATGAACAATTTTAGGAAACAAGCGGCGTACTCCAATCTGAATATGGCATGGAAAGTACGTTTCACAAAGCGTTCATACCAGTAGCTTCATCATCGTTGGCCCACGGAGTCGTCCCGCCGATGAATCGTAAGTTACTGCATGCACCCGCATGTGCGTGCACGATGAGAGAACTAGCCAATGACGATGGTCTCGCACCACGCACAGGATGGATATTGTATTGCCATAACTCCTCCACATCCGCCCACTGCACATCAACTTGGGTTGCGCCCGCATCCGCCTCGTCAACCGCAGCATCTCGAACGATGGGCTGCATCTCTCCAGTAGTATCAGGACGCACCTCGCCATATCCCACTGGGACATCTACCGCCGCCCGTTCTCCTCCTAGCCGCCGGACTTTTCGCAACTCAGGAAACTTCCACTTTGCTTCATCAGGGGTCATCTTCACATATGCAATGGTACCCATGGCTTCACACACCGCCTTCATAAGTGATGCTTTGAGTGTCCCCTTCGCCTCTTTCTCCAATCCTTTGGTCCTCAATGTCAGAATGTATTTGCTGTTTAGCCTGCAATGGGGTACTCTGTAGTGAGTTCAACCCAGTTTAGGGTTTGCTATTTGTATCCCAACTTTCTATAGTGAAACCTCTCATTCTTCCTTCTCGACTTTCCTCACCCAAAATTCTCTCGACACTCACTAGCCATGGCTCCTAAGTCATGCTAGTATTCTAACATGGTCTCAGAGCAATAGTTCCTAGGACCTCACATTAATGGGCCCACCACCTAATGCCCTGCTAGCCTAGGCCCCGGCCCGTCGCTCCTTGGCGTCGCCCCTAGCCCCTAGGCTCGGCCCCTTGGCCCCGTCGCCCCTAGCTCGGCCCCTCGGCCCCGCTGGCCCCATCGATTCCGTCGCCCGCGCCCGGCCTGTACCTAGCCCGCGCCCGGCCCCGTCTCGCGCCTGCGCCCGGCCCGTACCTAGCCCGCGATCGGCCCGTTCCTATTCCCGCGCCCGGCTCGTACCTAGCCCGCGACAGGCCCGTGCCTAGCCCGCGCTCGGCTACGTCTTACGCCTGCGCCCGGCCCCGTCTCTTGCCCGCGCCCGGCCCGTACCTAGCCCGCGCCCGGCTCCGTCTGTCGCCAGCGCCTGGCCTCGTACCTAGCCCGCGCCCGGCCCGTATAACGCCCGCGCCCGGCCCCGTACTTAGCCCGCGCCCCGGCCCCGTACCTGCCCAGCGCCCGGCCCCGTACCTGCCCAACGCCCGGCCCCGTACCTGCCCAGAGCCCGGCCCCGTACCTGCCCAGCGCCCAGCCCCATACCTGCCCAGCACCCGGCCCTGTACCTGCCCAGCGCCCGGCCCCGTTCCTGCCCAGTGCCCGGCCCCGTACCTGCCCAGCGCCCGGCCCCGTACCTGCCCAGCGCCCGGCCCTGTTCCTAGCCATGGCCTCGTCGCCCCTAGCCATGGCCCCTCTCGACCTGCCGCCCCTAACCGCGGCCCCGGTGCCCTGTTGCAACATGGTGGGTGAGGGGGTGGCAAGAGGGGGTTCCTCCAGCCCGCGTGCCCTACAGTCGCACGCGCAGCTCCGCCCCCGCCCCCCTCCCCCCCCTCCCCCCCCTTCATGGGGATGGCGGGGAGAGGGTGTGAGGGGGTGGCGGATGTGCCTCAGCAGCAGCAGCTGCCGCCACGCCTCCTCCTCTCTCTCTCCCTGCCGCACCTTGTGTTGGGAGAGGGGGGGAGCTTGGAGGTTCAGGGGGAGGCAGGAGGGGATCTGCAGCACCAGCCCCCCCCCACCCTTCTCCTACCTCCCCCTGCTGCGGGTGCAGCAAAAGGGGGGAGGGGATCTGCAGCACCGACCCCCCCCCCCCCCCCTCCTCCCCCCCCTCATCCTTCTCCTACCTCCCCCTGCTGCGGGTGCAGCAGTGGGGGGGAAGCGATCTGCCATCCCCCTGCTGCGGATGCGGCAGTTGGGGGAGGGGACCTGCAACACCAGCCCCCCCCCTGCCCCCCCCCCCTTCTCCTCCATCTCTCTGCTGCGGGTGCAGCAGTGGGGGGAGGGTATGGGGGTGGCGGGTGTGGCCAACCTGCTGTCGCCCGAGCGGCTCCTGCGCCGCCCCTTCTCCTACCTCCTCCCTGCTGCGGGTGCAGCAGTGGGGGGGGAGGGGATCTGCGGCACCAGCCCCCCCCCCCCCCCCCCCCCCCCCCCCCCTTCTCCTACCTCCCCCTGCTGCGGTTGCAGCAGTGGGGGGGAGGGGATCTGCAGCACCAGCCCCCCCCCCCCGCCCCCCCCCCCCCCCCTCCCCCTTCTCCTCCATCCCCTGCTGCAGGTGCAGCAGTGGGGGAGGGTATGGGGGTGGCGGGTGTGGGTGCAACTGCGGGGTGGCGGGTATGGGGGTGGCGGGTGTGTGAACCCCCCCCTGCTCCTCCTCCTCCTCCGTCTCCCACTGCTGCAGCTGCCGCTGAGGGGGGTGGGTGTGTGGGAGCCGAGGGAGTGGTGCTAGGGGGGTGACGTGGGAGTGGAGTTAGGGGTTCAGCAGGGGGTGTGTGTCAAGGGTGTGGGTCAGTTGGAGGAGGTTGTGTGGAGGTAGCTGTCGTGTCGCCTGCAGCGCCTGTAGCTCGTCGCCCTTGCTTCGGTAGCCAGTGAGCCTGTTGCACCAGTCGCCAGTGGGTCCGTTGCTCCTGCCGCTCGTCTATAGCCGCGGAGCCAGTCACTCCAGTAGTCCGTCGCCCTTGCTTCGGTAGCCACTGAGTCAGTCGCTCCTGTGCCCGTGCCTCTGCAGCTTCAGTCGTTGCCTCCCATCTTCTCTCCGTCCACAGTACTCTCCTCCTCCTCACTTGCCCTCTGTGATAGCCTCTAGCTTTGCTTGCCATTGTGAACCTGCTCTATGACTGGTTTCTCTACTGATTATACCCCACTTTGACTATGGGGGAGTGTCAGAATGTATTTGCTGTTTAGCCTGCAGTGGGGTACTCTGTAGTGAGTACAACCCAGTTTAGGGTTTGCTATTTGTATCCCAACATTCTATAGTGAAACCTCTCATTCTTCCTTCTCGACTTTCCTCACCCAAAATTCTCTCGACACTCACTAGCCATGGCTCCTAAGTCACGCTAGTATTCTAACACTCAACCACTGCTTTAACTCTTCCACCTTAGCCAACCATAGCTCCTCAACACAGCTAGCCTTGTCCACCTCCACAGCCATCCGCACCTGATCCTGAAGCTCCTTGCAGAAGAGATTGTACAGCGTCCTCTTCACGTGCCACCAATCCACCTGATGATCCAGCTTTAGCTCTACCGCAGCGCCTCTAAACGCGGTCCCTTGATCCGAGATGATGCCCTTCACATCGAACCCCAACAGCTTCAACTCATCAACCCCTCTGTCGAATGCCACCCGCTCCAATCGCACCGACGATTTATCATCCACCCCTTTACGTGTTGTTACATAGTAAAAGATCTTCCGAGACGGTATGTCCATGAACGACACTGTGCACCACTCACCCTCTCAGACATGTGACCATCGGCCATCCACCGTCACGTATTCGGCTGGAATGTCACGTTTGCTCATCTCCTCCCGCACCAAAGCCATCGACTTATCCGCCTCCCTAAGTATTTTTTTTCATAACCCATTATCGCCCCCAAGGTATCGATAGAACGTGCTTTTGCCAGGACATGGAATGCCAAAATTGCGGCTAAACTCCCACATCTGTTGATACCCCATCCCAGCGAGCGGGAATGCTCCCACATATTTTGAGTGTAGCATGGGCACTCGTGCACCAACCCCAACTCTCTTCTTGTCAAGGGTTTGATTGGTGCACGACCAGAATTCCACACCATGGGAACACTTATCACATCTCCAAAACATGCCAACTGAAGCCCAAGAAAACTTCCACGACCCGAGAGACATAGCACCTCCGCATGTATTTTGATGCGAGCACACTAAGCGACACCCCTTGAAGAACCCGACAACGGTACGTGGTTCGACTAGACATACCCGTTGCTCAGGGATATCATCAACACTAGGTGATGTAGGCCAATGCATGGGGACTGTCCCGCACGCGCTCGCGCGCGGATGGCTGCAAACAGGCCTTACGAGGGGTATAGAAAAAGGACACAAATAGTGAGCGTATGGTTGCCGTGAAAGTGTAAAGAGCCTAAGTGGGACCAGATGATTTCATAAGGTTGTAACATGAATTCCAAATTTGTAGTAAATCAACTGCTCACCTGTCCTCTGACATGCCATTCATCGTGCTCGGTGACGCTGTAGGCAATGACATGCTGCTGTTTGCATGATGTCCACCCCCCGCAGGCAAAGGAGGCACGGAAGGAGTAGAGGGCATGCCTTCGACATCACCACCACCCCCGACGGGCAGAGTAGGCACGGAAGAAGTAGAGAGTATGCCTTCGCCATCACCACCACCCCCGACGGGCAAAGGAGGCGCGGAAGGATGAGATGAAGCCGTAGCATTCTCCACCCCACCATCGTTCGTAGTGCCGCTAAGAGCAGCGCGCTGTGCATTACCTGCACTTCAGCAATAGTGGTATGATAAGTGGATGTGGGTGTTGGGGCGACACGTCATCGTGAGACAGCATCACCCGTGTTTGGCTATGTAGCATGTTTGAAAGGCATTACCTCCTTGGCGTTGTAGAGCAAATGCCTTCCCGCGTCTTGCTCCTCCCCAAGACAAGCCCTCCACACGCCTTGGTCTCCTGCGATCATCTAACCGCATAAGCGGAAAGGCATATCTCACACCAAACAGCTCCCGATCTGGCCGTTGTAATAAATCAGTGACCTTCTCGAAGGGCACTTGAGCGTGGGCCTTGAAAATGCGATGGTACTCTTGGCGGTGCAACTCAACCGTGGCGCCCGTCTGTGAGCGTCCAGACTCAGCATCTGTGAGGGATGGGAGTTGGGGGTGAAGGTAGAGTAAGGAAGAATTTGAAAGACACGTCACTGAATTTGGGTGCGAGGAGACGGCTGATGAGGCCCTTGGGCCCAATGTCCAGCGCGCTGGGGTGAATGGGGGGGGCAGGGATGAGGGATGGGGAGTGTGGCAGGGTGGGAATAAGTCTCACAATGCAGGACAGACCCCGATGAGTTTGGGTGCGAGGAGGCGGCTGATGAGACCCTTGAGACCCATGACCAACGCTATGGTGGGGCTCTGGGGTGAATGGGGGGGGCAGGGATGAGGGAAGGGGAGTGTGGCGGGGTGGGAATAAGACAAACAATGCAGGACAGACGCCGATGAATTTGGGTGCGAGGAGGCGGCTGATGAGACCCTTGAGACCCATGACCAACCCTATGGTGGGGCGCTGGGGTGAATGGGGGGGGCAGGGATGAGGGATGGGGAGTGTGGCGGGGTGGGAATAAGACAAGATCCGCAGGACTGGCGTCATTGAATCTAGATGCGAGGAGACAGCTGATGAGGCCCTTGGGCCCCATGACCAGCGCTATGGTGGGGCGCTGGGGTCAATGGGGGGGGGAGGGATGAGGGATGGGGAGTGTGGCGGGGTGGGAATTAGACAAACAATGCAGGACAGACGTCATTGAATTTGGGTGCGAGGAGAGCCGACAATCCACAACCGGAGTCATCACATTTGGGTGTGATGAGGCCCTTGGGTCCCATGACCAGCGCTATCGTGGGGCGTTGGGGGGAAGGGGGGAAGGGGGGAAGGGGGGAAGGGGGGAGGGTAGAGGAAGGCAGATTTCAGAATACAGGCCATTGAATCTGGGTGCGAGGAGACGGCTGACGAGGCCCTTGGGTCCCATGACCAGCGCTATGGTCGGCTGGTGAGGGGAGGGAAAGTGTGAGGGGCATGGGAGTGGGGGTTGGGGAGGGGATAGAGGGAGTACGAGAGGAATTGCAGGGCAGGCGTTGTTAAGAGTAAGCGCGAGGAGACGGCTGATGAGACCCTTGGGACCCATCACCAGCGCTATCGTGGGGCACTGGGGGGAGGAGAGTGGGAAGAGAGGAGGGGGAGTGGGGCAGGCAATGCAGGTCTGGAGTCGAGCAGGCGGCTGATGAGGCCCTTGGGTCCCATCACCAGAGCTATGGTGGGTCGCTGGAGGGGGGAGGGGAGGTTGGGAGAAAGTGGGGGGTGGGGATGGGGAGTGGGAGGTAAGGCAGAGAATGCAGGGCAGGCGTCAACACATGGGCGCGCGCACACACCTGGGCGTGCGTGTGGATCAGGGCGCGCGGACCAAGGCGCGCGCGTGGACCAAGGCGCGTGCGCAAAGAAAGCGGCCACACTTTTCAAGACCCCAACTGCGCACACTTCATAAGTCGCCAACTATGCGCTAGTTCCTCGCATGCATGTGACATTCCATCAATAACCCAACTCACCAGTGGCTAGGCCAGCCCTGATGAGCCGTGACGTAGCCTCAGGTGCTGCCTCCGCTAAGAAATGAATCACGTCGTCGGCCGTCGCCCCCCTCTCGCCAGCAAACAAGGCGGACAACCCTACGCGGAATACGCACAGTAACGGTCGCATGTGCCGCGATATGTTCACGCTTCCCGTCGTTGCATCTTTGCATGCTTGCGTTACCGCATGTAACCCTGCACTTGTCGCTGGAGCCATGAGTAGCAAGCTGCACCTCCATGATGGGAGGCAATGTCGTTATGGGCAACAGAGGGATACAGAGGAGAAGTGAGCACATGCTGTGAGAGGCAGAGCAGTAGCCTCACACTTTGAAACGAGCATCAGAATGCTATTGCTGAGACATCAATGGCGAAGGCCACGAGCTGTGACAAAAGCAGCAATGAGCACATGGTGACGACATCAGCAGCAGTGAGCACGTAATGTGACAAGAGCAGCAGTGGTATGATGCTGTGACATGAGCAGGAGAGAGCCCATGCTGTGACATATAGAGCAGTAATCCGATTTTATGGCATATAGTAGTAGACGCATCACATGTTGTAACTTGGCAACAGTGTAGCCTCATGCTATGACCCCAGCAGAAGAACCTACATCATGTGACACCAGCAGCAGTCTCAAGCTGTGACATGAGCATTTGCTATATGAAGCTGTGACATGAGCAGCAGCTATATGAATCTGTGTCATGAGCAGCAGCTATATGAAGCTGTGACATGAGCAGCAGAGCTGTGACATGAGCAGCAGCTGTATGAAGCTGTGACATGAGCAGCAGCTATATGAAGCTGTGACATGAGCAGCAGCTATATGAAGCTGTGACATGAGCAGCAGCTATATGAAGCTGTTGAGAAGAATTGAACGAGAATGAAATGACTATGAAAGAAGTGAGTACAAATAGGAAACCCTAATGGGATTGTACCCCCTATGGGATACCCCACTATAGCCTACACAAATAAGTAAGCTATAATGTTCTGACACACCCCCATAGGCAAAGTGGGGAGAACAAGGGGTCACAAGACCAGTCAAGCAAAGCAAAGCAAAGCTCAGGGTGGATCACAAAGTCACCACACATTCCGAGCACAGGTTCAAAGGCCAGAAGGCCAGTTCACATGCAAGATCACATATAGAGATATACAAGAGTCAAGCAAGCAAGAGCAAGAGTATATATAGGTAAAGGTACAAGCAAGGTCAAGAAGTGAGCAAGTGAGACAAGACAGGCACAAGACCCAGCTGCGTGCAGCAGCGCTGATGATCACAAGGCGCAAGTGCCTTGGTGAAGACATCAGCAGTGTTGGCCTCAGAGGCCACGTACGCAAGTCGCAACTGTCCACGCTGCTGTAGCTCACGAGCAAGAAAGTAACGGAGAGCAATGTGCTTTGTCCTGTGCTCCAGTCGCTGCTCTCGACACAAGGCCAGCATGGCCTTGTTGTCTACGTACAGCACTGGAGGAGAACGAGGCGGCTCTCCAAGGCCGGTCAGCAGGTAGGTGAGCCAGCGAAGCTCCTGGGCCGCCATAGCCCCGGCGTAGATCTCAGCCTCACAACTGGAGCCGAGAACAGAAGACGAGCGGGTAGCCCGCCACGAAACAGAGCCGGAACCAAGGCTGAATGTGTAACCCTGTGACGACCGCTACGTAGCCTCGTCGTCAGCCCAAGAAGCGTCCGCGTGCCCAGTGAGCACCACTGGACTGCGCCCTCCAAGCACTAGCCCCATGCCCGACGTACTGCACAAGTAGCGCAACACCCTCTTCGCTGCAGCCATGTGCTCTAGTCGGTGTCTCCCAGGAGCAACATAGCGAGCGAGAATGCTAAGAGGGTATGCAAGGTCAGGTCGTGTGCAGGTCATCAGGTACATGAGGCAGCCAACAAGCTCTGCATACGGGCCACTCGTCTCTACGGACTCATCCGAAGGCAGAGCTGAGAGCGAGTGGCGAGTAGGCAGAGGAGTGGCCTTAGGCGAGGAGTACGTGAAGCCGAAGCGCTGAAGGACCTGCTGCACCATGTGTGACTGAGTCAGGGTAATGGTGCGGCGTGCTCTGTCCCGGGTAATCTGCAAGCCAAGGTAGCTGCGCATTTCACCCAGGTCAGTGCACGTGTGTCTCTTCTGCAGCTCGGACTTCACGTAGGCGAGTCCAGCAGTGTCAGCTGTGGCAAAGACCAAGTCATCGACGTACACGAGGATGTAGAACGGCGGCAGAGAGGTGTCAGTGCGCAGAAACAGCGACGGGTCTGCAGTGGAAGGAGCAAACCCAAGTGCCGCCAGCGTAGTCCTCAGTGTGTCGTGCCACTCACGCGGCGCCTGGCGGAGACCGTAGACTGGACGCCGGAGACTCCACTGGGTACCAGAAGGGAAAAACCCAGTGAAGCCAGGTGGGCGACGCAGCCAGATCTCCTCGTGCAGGCTGCCCTGCAAGAAAGCAGTGCTGAAGTCAAGAGAGTGCAGCTCGTAGTCACGGTGAGCAGCAACGTGCAGCAGTACCCGAAGAGTGGTCATCTTCGGGGTGGGGGAGAAGGTCTGAAAGTAGTCAACTCCCTGCCGCTGACTGAAGCCACGAGCCACGTAACGCGCTTTGAAGACAGGCGGAGAACCCGGCGGCCGCTTCACCCTGAAAATCCACATGCCACTGACGATGTTCGCCCCAGGAGGGGGGAGAGCGTCAACGTAGGTGCCTGTGGATTTCCAGGAAGCCATCTCTGCATCCATAGCTGCCTGCCACTGAGAGGAGTAGGGACCCTCTATCGCCTCCGCGTAAGAGCGCGGAGTCGGGATGTCTAGTGCATCCGGGTCTCCCTCAGGGGTGAGCAGTACAGACGCGAGATGAGGTGAAGCGGCGGCCAGACACTGGAACTCCTCCTGCCTGTCCTCAAGGACGTCCGTGCCAAGGGCACACTCACCCCCGACGAACGGAGGACAGGTAGACTCAGACTTAGTGACAAGACTAGCAGCGTAGTCTAGACGACAGCTTGCAGCAAAGTCGACGAGCTCAGTAACAAGGGCAGATGCAGTAGAAGACTCGAAAGAAGGGTCAGTGACGGCAGTAGCAAGGAGACGCGTGACAGTAGGACTGGCAGCACGAAGAGAGTCCGACTCCGGGTCGGCAAGAGCAGGAAGAGAGGAAGCAGGAGGAGAAGGCAAAGGGGCACGTAGAGGAGCAGTGGACGGACGCAGAGACATCCGGTGCGTGCCAGGGACAGGAGGAGGACGCTGACGCGAACCGCGACCACTAGTGCGCGCAGGACAAACAGGCGACGCAGGACGAGACGCAGGCTCACGACGCTCAGTAAGACCTCCAGTCGGACCAGCGCAGGGAGAAGGAGCAGGCAAAGGGAAGGCAGGCTGTAGCTGTGACTGTGACTCGACAGGCTGTGGACCCTCTAAGGGAGGAGGAGGAGGACCAGGAGAAGGTGGAAGACCAAGAACCTGCTGCAGGAGCGGAACGAAGTACGGTCGGGGCCGCGTGGCGACGCTAGAAACAGTAGGGACAGCACCAGTACCCCCAGCAGGAGTACCCGCTCCAGCAGCACCTCCAACAGCACCTCCAGTAGCTCCAGAACCTCCAGCAGCACCTCCAGTAGCCCCAGAACCTCCAGCAGCACCAGGAGCACTGCTAGTCGGACCGCTAGCGGTAGTCCCAGCGCCAACACGCTCAGTAGCACCAGCTCCAGGAGAACCCGCAGGCCCAGCAGCTCCAGGACTCCCAAAACGAGCACCTCCGGGACGCGCGGCAGCAGCACCCTCAGCAGCCGAAGAACCTCCAGCACCAGCAGCACGCCTCCAGCGCCGGGCAAACCACTCACGCAGCTCCTGTGGGGAGAGTGGTTCTCGGCGAGACGAAGCACCCTGAGAGCCTCCAGGCGAAGAACCTCCAGGCTCAGGACCCTCAGGCAAAGCACTCCCAGGCGTAGCACCTCCAGTCTCAGTACCCCCAGGCTCAGCACCCCCAGGCTCAGCACCCCCAGGCTCAGCACCCCCAGGCTCAGCACCCCCAGACTCCGCACCCCCAAGCTTCGCACCCCCAGGCTCAGCACCCCCAGGCACAGCACCCCCAGTCACAGCACTACTAGGCTCAGCACCCACAGCAGCACCAGAGTCACCAGTGACCTCGACAGGCTCAACCGCGTCTACCTGGGACACACCTGAAGGGGCAGGACCCTGAGGGGGAAGGGGGTCTACCGGGGGGGGACCTGGTACTAAGAAGAGCGGGGGTGGGGGGAGGGACGGAGTGCGGTAGGGGAAGAGGCGGTAGTAGGGTACCGACTCGTCGAACGTGACGTCATGGGAGGACAAAACACGGCGAGAGGTGGGGTGGTAGAACTGCCACCCAGGGGCGTCGGGGGGAAACCCCAGGAAGACGCAGGGAGCAGCGCGAGGGGACAGCTTGTCCGCAGACAAGTCGCGGACAAACGCCCGAGATCCCCAGACCCGGAACGCCGACGCATCGCCAACCTTCCCCGTCCACAGCAGGGCTGGTGAGGTCTCCGGCCTGGAGACCCTGGGGTGGAGGTTGATCTGATGCGCCGCGTACCTGACTGCAAACGGCCACAGAAAATGGGGGGCAGCCGCATGCATCATAGACGTACGAGTGACGTCCATGACCATGCCAATGCGGCGCTCTGCAATCCCATTTTGCTGCGGTGAGTCCCGCAGCGTGAAGGTCTGACGGATGCCTCGCGCACGTTAGTAGGCACGCAGAAGGCCAGAGGAGAACTCTCCGCCTCTGTCCAAGTGCAGACGCAACACAGGAAAGTCCGAGCCAAAGGTCTGCCTGAGCTGGAGACGAGCTGCGCGGATCCAGTCGATCAGCACCTCAGTGACATCACCCTTGCCGCGCAAGGGGAAGACTGTGGTGTAACGCGAGTAGTCGTCAACCACCAACAGGAAGTAGCGCTCGTGACCGAGTCCACGGACGCGGGCAGGGCCCCACACGTCCATGTGAAGCGTCTGCAACGGAGCCTCTGTCGGAGGAAACTGGGAGGAGTGAGGGGTAGCACGCTGGCGCCCCTCGACACAGGGGACACAGGCAGGGCCAGGGCCCTGAGGAAGGGGAGGGAGGGACCGGGGAAGACCAGACACAAGAAGACGGGAGGCCATGCCTCTGAGCCGAAGCAAAGAGGGGCTCAAGACATTCAAGTTACTCTAAGTTAAAATGGTCGGGTCAAACCGTCGCTTAAGATGGCACTGTGAAAACAAGACAGGTTCAAGACAAAGAAGCGGAAAGTGCAAGTACAAGGAGGCTGGACAACGGAACATATTTCGTTTATCTGCCTTTGCTGCGATTCATCGTCTACCAAAGAGAGAGGAAGCTCATAGTCAAGTGCAGAGACCACCTCAATCACTAGCAGGAACGATCAAGGATGGACCAGAGCCAATTTTCCATCAGATTGAATTTATGACGTCGGCGGAACGGGACGTTTCACGAAATTTTGGCACGGCTCCTAGAGTATTTCAAGACGTTGGCTATTTTCCTACTGGAATGTGTGAAGAAGGTTATTCCGACTTTAAGATTCTGAAGAACAGGAAGACAGAAGTCGATTCTGGAATTTTCCCTACGTTACAAGAAGCATATTTTCATTTGGAGGAAATAGATGACGCCGTCATAGTGTTCCGGCGCCATGAATCAAGGCAAGCTACTCGAGGTGTTTTTCCCTCTGAAGGTGTTTTGCTCTCAGCTGCTCCTATCACACCGCTCACACAAGCTCGAACGACTGCAAGTGTGACTGGAAACATTCGTCGTCCCCAAGGCCCTGTCAGGCATCAACTTCTAAGCAGGGCAGTTTCTGCTGTAACCCAACTCCACCAATCTCAGCAAGGCAAGGTCAGAGCCAATCGACCAAGGCTGAAGCGTCACATTCGTCACCAAGGCCTTGTTCAGCAGCGGCGACCCAGAGCTGCTTCTGTTGCAAACCAACCTCACCAGACCAGGGAAGGCAGGTTCGGAGGAGCCAAGCCACCAAAGCTAAAGCGACAAAACCAACATGAGGAATGTATCGAGATGCTTCTGCAAGTACTGAAGTGTGACAACGGCACAATAGGTTTTTGTGGCGGGCAAGCTGAAATGTTTAGGCGTTTGGTCTATAAGCCTCCGTAGAGATCTGGGAGGTTACGGTAGTATACACTACCTATGCCCTCTAGCACCGGTTACGACCGTGGTGTTTTTGCATTGTACGTGTATAGTGCATATTTCACCTACCAAAAAAAAACAAATAGGCACCTCACCGTAGTTCACAGGCACCCCCACCGTACTACACTCCCCGCCCATCCGCACCACCTTTCTTAGCTTGGGATACTTCCACTTTGCCTCTTCCGCAGTCATTTTCCTGTAACATCGTGCCCATGGCGTCACAAACTGATTCCACCAAAGCCTCTTTCAGAGAAGCTTTTGAGTCTTTCACCAGCCCCCGTCCTTTCAGCCATTCCCGTAGCCCATCGACAATCGCAAGCCATAGATCCTCAATACAGCTCACCTTGTCCACAGCCACCGGTGCACAGACCGCATCCTTAAGCTCTTTCAGAAACAGATTGTAGAGAGTCCGTTTCACATGCCACCAGTCCACCTGGTGGTTCAATCCTCTTTCGGACGCTGCCCCACGAAAAGTAGACCCTTGATCAGAGATGATCCCTTCCTCCGTAAATCCTTTCTGCGTCAGTTCATCTAAACCTTTATCGAAAGCCACTCTTTCCAGTCGCACCGCAGAGGTGTCGTCCACCCCTTTCTGTGTTGTGGCACACTACATTATCTTCCTAGACGGTAAATCTAAGAACGATACCGTACACCACGCTCCTTCTCAAACATGGGACCATCGACCATCGACCACTACATATTCTGCATGAGCTTCACGCTTCAGCATCTCTTCTCGTACCGCAGCCATAGACTTATCCGCCTCTCTCAGTATAGCATTCCATAGCCCATTATCATCACCAAGGTACTTGTAGAATGCGCCCTTCTCCGGTGCTGGAATGCCGAAGTTGCGAAAAAACTCCCACATTTGCTGATACCCCATTCCGGCTAAAGCAAACGCACCAACAAATCTTGATTGTAGCATCGGGGAACGCGCGCCTACACCGGTTCGTTCTCTTTCTACACGCCGGCTCAGACATGACCAAAACTCTACGCCATGCAAGCACGCGTCACATCGCCAAAACATGCCGACCGATGCCCATGATCTCAATGGCATACCCTCACTACACACGCACACGCGCTCATGTGAACACACCAAACGACACCCTTGGAAGAACCCAACCAGCTGTCGTGGCTCGAAAAGACATACCCGTTGCTCGTCGATGTCATCGACGCTCGGAGCAGAAGGCCAGTGTCTAGGGACACTCCCACGCCCAACCGCGTGAAGGTGGCAATTGGCAGGCCTAGTGAACATAAAAAGGAAGGGAGTTTGGACAGGGATATAATGACATGGAAGATAGCGCACACTGACATCATGGATACTTAGCCACCCCACCCATTACTCTCACCCTTGCATTGGCCGTTCTAGAGTCGTCGTCGAACTCGGTGTGGGCGCAGCCACGCAGTATCTCCAGGCGCACTGGCAGTGCCCTCATCAGCATCGAAGCCGTCCCTCTCCACAATGCCCACGACTGGCGCATCTAGCAAAATGGCCGGCATGTCGTTGCCACTCCCTCCAAGGTTGGCCCCTGATACATAAATGGCATGATTAGGGAATGTCGTTTATTAGTTACGTCGAATACAAGCAAACTCCATATGCATCTTCCAAATCATACCTGAATGACGTGTCGCTACGAATGTCGCGCAACGCCTAGTGCCTCCCCATGATCGACCAGAAACTTGTCGCAGTCTTCCGCGCGCATCATACTGCACCAGCGGGAAGGAGTATCTAAGCCCGGCAAGGATCCAATTGGGCCGTTGTTGCAGGTCCGCCACATGCTCAATACTTCCTTTAGCGTGTTCCTTAAAGATGTGGCCGTACTCCTTTCGGTGTCTTTCCACAATCGTGCCTGTAAGTGTGTCGTTTGAACAAGGATCTGTGAGGCGCAGGATGCACAGGCACGTGACACATTTCATTGATTTCACACATTTAACAGGAAGACAATCAATAGTGCATATCATGCACACTTCAACATCGGTCCAATCGTTGTGACTTACCTGCTGCTAGGCCCGCCGTAATGAGTCGGCTGGTCGCTTGAGGTGCTGACTCCGCCAAAAATGAATCACATCATCCGCCATCGCCATTGTGTCCCCGAAGTACAATGCCGAGAGCCCCACACGGAGCACGCACAGAAGTGGCCACATGTGGACCGAAATATTGACTGTTCCCCTCTGGGCATCCTTACATGCCTGTATTGCAGGATGCACTCCCGTCCCTACAACCACCGGTGCCATCTGGAAGCATGTCAGCACATACCCCAAGGAGAGAGGGAGAGGTGGGTGGTCAGCGGTAGGGGGCAGGGGCAAGGTTTAGGGCATCTTAGGATACAGCAGAAATGTGCAATTGCACTCTAAGCAGCACACAACGGTGAGCAACAAGCAATGGTGAAAGCAGGCCCAAGGCAGCAGCAACATTGGTTGCTACTGACTTGGGACATCACATAACAGTTTGGTGGTGACAGCAGGCCCAAGGCAGCAACAACATTGGTTGCTGCTGCCTTGGGACAGCACAAGTGCGTGCCTGGTGGTGATAGCAGGCCCAAGGCAGCACCAACGTTGGTTGCTGCTGCCTTGGGACAGCACAGGTGCGTGCCTGGTGGTGACAGTAGGCCCAAGGCAGCAACATTGCGCTCAAACAGTAGTGTGTCGGACCCCTAAGACAGCAGCAACTCGTACTCTGAACAATAGTCCACTATCAGGGAATTGGGGGCTCACCTGTGGTAACCTCTTGATCGATCCTTTAGGGGCATGTGCTGCCCCGCGTTCCCTTTCAGCGCGCAGTCCTCCCAGAAGTCTCGCGCGCAGGGGTCATAGCCCGGTCACCGTGTGAGCTGCATGTCGCCAGCAGCGCGCGCTGCTCGTCGCCCGGGCTCCTCCGCTGCTCGTCGCCCGGGCTCCTCTGCTGCTCCTCGCCTTGGCTCCTCCGCTGCTCGTTGCCCGGGCTCCTACGCTGCTCGTCGCGCGGGCTCCTTTGCTGCTAGGCACGCAAGCTCCTACGCTGCTCATCGCGCGGGCTCCTTTGCTGCTACGCACGCAAGCTCCTACGCTGCTCGTCGCGTGGGCTCCTCCGTGGCTCGTCACGTGGGCTCCTCAGTTGCTACGCGCGCGGGCTCTTCCGTTGCTCGTCGTGCAGTCACGCGGGCTGCTCATCTCCCAGTGCACGCGCTGCGCGTCCCCCGGTGCGGGCGCTGCGCATCGCCAGGAACGCGAGCTGCGTTGTCTGGAGCGTCCACCCTCAGCGCCCGGGGCGTGCGCTTGGGGCTGGCGTCGCGCGCGGCACTGTATGTGCGACCCACGCGCGGTCTGCACCTTCGCCCGTTGAGCGCTATGCTCCACCCACTGAGGGCGCTGTCAGGGGTCCGAATCCCTCCCTCGTTCTTCTAATGTTGAGATTCTTAAACTACAGGTAATCGAGGGTTTCTCGTTATGACTAGCTGCTGAACGTGTAGGAAATGGCATCCCTCAACTCTCCAATGCTTCCTCACCAATCGCGTTTCCCGTATGTCCCATTTGGGCTTGCCCGTTACTACACACCCCACCGCTGTGTTGTTGCCAACTCCTGAGATGATCAGTAATCTGAGGTAATCTGTCGAATTCGTTTCCGTTTTTGCATCGTTTTTCCCGATTTCAGTCTAAGTTGGTGGTGTTGTTAGTACCACGTGCGTCGATGTTTTTCTATTTCCCGTTAGTACAGGTGAGTTGAGTCAGTGGTGAGGAGGAGACTTCTGCTGCGGCCACACTTTCTGTGTTGTACGTAAGAGTGTGAAAGCTTCTGATAGGATAGAGTGTTTATTCATACGACTTACTTTTCGCACAAGGTTGGTGGGTATCACTGGTTTGGTGTGGCTGAAATGGGTACGTGCTCGCTTAGAAACATAATTCTCGCCACAGCCTTCATGCCGAAATAGGTTTCGCACACCCTCACCTACTGCCCATTTCAAATCCACATAACTTGAAAATTTACCATGCTGACCCTGGGCTTTGAAGAGCAGATTTTGCACGATCAGCACGCCATTCAACGTGATGTGTGTCCTGCTCCCTCGAGCCTTGAGCACCACGATTCCTTGTGCGCTTGGGCGCAGTCATGTGTTGTTTGCCATGGCGACATAGGTCACAGCAGGGGTGGAGACGGCGTTGGATATGTAACGCTCAGAGCCCACCATATGCTGCACACAGCAGCTATCCAGGTACCACGTATTGTAGCGCCTGTTGTTGTTACATGCGAGTAGCGCCAATCATGTTGGATGCACGTCATTCTGAGTGCATGTCATCCTAACGTCCTGCCGAGTGCTCGTGCTATTTGTGCTTGCATGATTTGCATGAGCGTATGTCATTGTGCATGGCTGTTGGATATTATCATCTCTGTGTTTTTCTCCAAGTCTAAATGCTTGATCATGCAGGAGAAATCCAGAGCTTTCCAACGACACCAAGATCGCCTTATTCCGACCAAGATCGCCCAAGTTACAAGATTTCCAAGATTTGGATTTCTTATTACCTTTCGAGGTTATATCTAATTTGGGTAATTACTTGGGACATGACTATAAAGGGATCTTTGGTTGGGTGGTTAGGAATGCAACTTTGACTTTTGGATTGGGGTGGCTAGAAGTTTCTAGCATGGGTTGCAAATGTTGCAACACCTACGCAAAATCCAACTAGATTGGATTTTGCATGTGACACCTCAAGGACCTCATGATGAGGGTTGCATCCTTGCTGCTAGGAAGGTTCCTACCATTCTTCCCTAACTCTTGGAGAACACCTTCCCTCTCATGGTTCTCTTGGAGTCCCCAACTCCAACTTTCTATGCCCTAATGTTTGTACTTCCTCAACCATACTAGTCATGCGGCTGCTGGACGTTTTTACTTGGTTCTCCCTCTATATACCATCTTAACGACTGATTCAACTTGGAGATGGTAGCTAAGAATAAGGCGCAACTTCCTACTGAGCGGATTTGCGTTTAGTTGACTAATGAGTTCGTCGTAAGCTCTCAAAGTGACGGATCCTGAACAACAAGTGGTATCAAAGCGGGTAGTCGACTTTGAGAAGACGAATCGTCGCAAATTCTCAACCAATGTTGTCGAGTAAGACCAGTTTCTAGTAGCTCTGCTTGCGACCTTTCGATTGGTGGTCAAACCGCGTTCTAGTTCGAAGTATCCAGTCCGCGACGGCGTCTTTCGTAGAATCGAAATTTCTGGCAGAATTCTCTCCAAACGATTTCTCAAGTTTCCACCGTTCATAAGGCCTCAATATGGTTGGTACGAACTCCGGAGGTGCTAGTGGCGAGATGGATAGAAGTAGAGAGGCTAGAGAGCAGGGGGGAGTTGCTGGTGGAGGAGTGGGGACTCACCAACCAGCCAACCCTACGCTACCTACTTCTTCTACACCATCTCCTACTATCGTGGATCCTATGAAAGCTTTCTCTATTGAGAAATTCATGGGGGAGGACTACGAGCACTGGAGTTTCCGTATGAGGCTGATGTATACCCAATACAAGCTATTGGATTTGGTGGAGGGGAAGGAGAAGATGCCGGAGGCCGCGGAGCTGAAAGGAGCATGGATGAAGCGATCGTTCGACGCGTACATGCTCATGGTGCAAGCGGTTGGCGGGCGACAACTTGACCACATCAAGGACCTCTTGGGTGATCCGGAGTGTGGCCCCAAGGCTTGGAGAAAGCTTCTGGATGTGCACTCACCGACACATGCTACCGGCATCGTGCTACTCGCGCGGCGGCTGCGCGATATCAAGTTCGTTGATGGAGAGCCGATGCAACCGGTGTTGGATGAGATGCGCGACATCTTCACAAAGCTCCAAGGAGCCGGTGTGGTGTACCCAGAGCTCGTGCAATGCGTGGAGATCGTGATACGGCTGCCGGGGTCATGGTCTGCCCTAGCGATCAACCTCAACTCCCAACAACCCCAACGGAGCGTGGATTACATTCGCGCGCGCATCCTAGAGGAGGACTTGCGGCGGCGGAGTGTGGAGCGCTCGGAGGAGGGGGCTGGCTATGGAGTTGGAGGTGGAAAAAGTGGCTTCAAGAAGAAGTGGAAGGGCAAGAACAAGGATAACCCTAAGGAGGATGGCGGCGGGGGTCAAGGGGAGGTGTGCTTCTACTGCAAGAAGCGCGGACATCGTTGGTGGAAGTGCTACCAACGACCCAAGGATTGGACCCCGCCTTCATCAAGCAACCAGCGTGGTGGCACGAGGAGTGGGGGAGTCATGGGAGCCAGTGGAGAGGAGAAGGATGAGGAGGAAGGCGGCAAATCTGAGGAGCGGAAGGCCGGGTTCTTCTTCTTCGTGAACGAAGGCGCAACCGACCACGCTATGGCTGCCAAGGTTCTCCTACACCCCCTCACCCATTGGGTGATAGACTCCGGGAGCTCTTGGCACATGACTCCTCGTGCGGACCTACTTGATGAGATTCAGCCCGCACCCATCTCTACAGTCACATCCGCGACAGGCGCCAAGGCCAAGGTCATGGGCATGGGATGCGCCAAGTTCATGGGAGCGGATGGAGAGCTCGTGGGGCTGAAGAACGTGCTGTGGGTGCCGGACTTGTGCGCGAACCTGATTTCTACCGGCCGATTGGGAGATGCGGGTGTGAACACCGAGACGATTGGCTCGGAGCGCCACCATGCCTACAACGATGAGCGGCTGATTTGGGACCTGCAGTGGAAAGGGGATGTCCACAAGCGGATGTGGCAGATCCCGGTCCTCCCTTGGCGGAAATCGGGCAAGGCGGCAGCGGCGGCATCTATGGAGGAGAGCGTCACCGAGGAGGAGCAGCAAGGTGTGCAAGGAGAGGAGCTGATTGGAGGAAGCGCGGCGGTGAAGGCGTCGGCTACCTTGGGCCAAGCGGATTGGGAGACTTGGCATCGGCGGCTCGCACACGTGGCTGTTTCTACATTGGAGGTGATGCACAAGGAGAAGTGCGTGCATGGGCTGCAACTGCAAGGAGATGGCGCTCACTACGGCAGCTGCGAGGCGTGCATGCAAAACAAGTTTGCGCGATTCCCGTTTCCACGTGCAGAGGGATCAGCCAAGGCACCATTGGAGGTGGCGCACAAGGACCTGGTGGGTCCTATGAGGACTGAGGGGACTTGGGGAGTGCTGTACTTCCTTACCATGGTGGACGAATGGAGCCGTTTCACGTGGGCGCAACCCTTGTCCAAGAAGAGCGATGCTGCAGCGGCGATCAAGGAGGATTGGTTGCCGATGGTGGAGCGGCAAGCGATGCGGCTGGTGAAGGTGCTGAGGAGCGACCGAGGTGGAGAGTTCCTTGGAGCGGAATTCACCAAGTTCCTCAAGAGAAATGGCATCCGACATCAGCTGACCTGCCCTGGAACACCGCAGCAGAATGACATTGCTGAGCGTGCCAACCGGACTATTGGCGAGGTGGCTAAGACATTGTTGGGGGCTGCTTGGATGCCCTACAAGTTCTGGCCTGATGCCGTTCGCCATGTCATCACGGTCAAGAACAGGGTGTTGACGCATGTTGGTGACAAGCATTGGGTGCCGTACGAGCGTTGGCTTGGAAAGAAGCCATCTATTGACATGCTGCGTGTGTGGGGCTGCATGGGGCTTGTGATGGTGCCTAAGGAGCAGAGGCACAAGCTGGAAGTTGCTGCTGTGTGGGCTGTCCATCTTGGGATGGCTCCTAACTCGAAGGGGTGGCTGATGTGGGACCCCAAGAGCAAGAAGTCGCTGGTCAGCCGTGACGTCAAGTTTGTGGAGGACGTCATGTACAAGGACTGGCAGCAGCAGCAGCAGCAGCAGCAGCAGGTGCAGATTGGCTTGCGTCTGCAGGAAATTGAGCGGTCTACAGGGGAGGAGGTTCAGCTGCACCTTGATGAACTCCACGGGTCAGAGCTGACCAGTGACCATAGTCGCGGTGGTGAGCAGCAAGTTTCTGGTCCTGCTGGAGAGGAGGGGTTGGAGGATGAGTCTGCACGTGTGGAGTCACCAACTCAGCCCGAGCCTGCTGCAAACGCCAAGGTCACCAAGAGGAGTGTGCAGAGAGGAGCTTCACCACATGGGCAGCAGACTGCAACCCGCGAGAAGAGAGTGGCAACAACACCCTCAAGGCTGAAGTATAGTCGTTTGGGAGGACCCAAGCAAGGTGCCATGGCGGTTCACACGGATGAGGGAGAGGATGAGGAGATGGCGTTCTGTTTCTTCACACCCTTGCCTGGAGAACCAGCCACAGTGGAGGAGGCACTGAGTGGACCCCAAAAGGAGGAGTGGAAGGCTGCCATGGATGCGGAGTTCAACAGTCTCATTGAGAATGGGACTTGGGAGCTTGTTGAGTTACCCAAGGGGCGACAGCCGATCAGCAGCAAGTGGGTCTTCAAGGTGAAGAGTGGAGCTGATGGTGCGTTGGAGCGGTTCAAGAGCCGTTTGGTCGCCAAGGGGTTTCAGCAGAAGGAGTTCTTCGCTCTTTTGCTAAGCCAGTGACATTGAGGACTTTGATGGCTGGCGCAGCTGTGAAGGGATGGCACGTGAAGCAGATGGATATCACCACTGCGTTCCTCAATGGAATACTGCTGGAGGATATCTACATGGCGCAGCCCGACGGCTATGAGGATGGGACCAGCCGGGTGTGCAAGCTTAAGAAGGCCATCTATGGCCTTAAGTAAGCGCCCAGGTGTTGGTACGTGAAGCTCGAGGAGGTGCTGCTGGGTGGAGGCTTCAAGACGTCCCAGGCGGATCACAGCTTGTTTTTGCTTGGAGAGGGGGAGCAGCTGCTTTTGATGCTGGTGTATGTCGACGACATACTGCTGTTCTCACCCTCCATGGAGAAGATTGAGAGGACACAGAAGCTGCTAATGGACAACTTCAAGTGCAAGATGCTGGGGGATGTCCACTACTACTTGGGGCTGCAGATTCAGAGGGATGTTGAGAGGAGGTGGCTGAAGGTGCATCAGTCACACTACATCTCTGGTGTCATGGAGCGGTATGGTGTGGCTGGGGGTCGCACTGTGATGACACCATTCCCTGCAGGCTTCAAATTGAAGAAGGCAGCCGAGGAGGATGATGTGCTTGAGGATGAGCAGCAGAATGAGTACCAGTCACTCATTGGGAGTGTGATGTATGCAGCTGTGCATACACGACCTGATGCTTCATTCGGAGTGGGGTAGCTGGCTAGAGTTGTGCAACGACCCACTGTGGAGCAGTTGGAGGTGGCAAAGCGCTTGGTGCGCTACCTTGGATCAACGGCATCTGCTGGTGTTCAGTTTTCAGCTGGCGGCCAGCTGAAATAGATTGGAGCAGATGGGGTCACGCCTGGTACCTTGAAGCTGTCGTGTTTCACCGACGCCACATGGGCCTCAGAGGATGAGGATCAGTCATCGGTTGGCTGCTTTGTGTGCATGGTCGGAGATGGACCAGTGAGCTGGAGGTCCAAGAAGCAGAGTGAGATTGCTCAGTCTTCCGGAGAGGCAGAGTACATGGCGATGTACCATGCCATCAAGGAGATCGTGCTTCTGAGGAAGCTGCTGGAGGACATGGGAGCTGAACAGGAGGGACCTACACCACTTTTCTCCGACAGCGAGGCTGCTATTGGCATGGCCAATAATCCTATCCTGAATGGGCTGAACAAGCACATGAAGATTAAGTGGCACTGGGTGAGGCACATGGTGAAAGAGGGAGCTGTTGAGCTTCACCATGTGAAGGCTAGCAAGCAGGCGGCAGATTTTCTCACCAAGAGACTTCCCGAGAGCGCACATTGGAAGTGTGCTAAGATGTGTGGCATGGCATTGCATTAGTGTGGGCAGCAGTGTCGTGAGTGCATGTGTGATTGTGTGCATGAGACTATGCATGTGTGTGAGTGTGTGTGCATGCAGTCCGTTTGTCTGAGGGGGAGTTTGTTGGATGCACGTCATTCTGAGTGCATGTCATCCTAACGTCCTGCCGAGTGCTCGTGCTATTTGTGCTTGCATGATTTGCATGAGCGTATGTCATTGTGCATGGCTGTTGGATATTATCATCTCTGTGTTTTTCTCCAAGTCTAAATGCTTGATCATGCAGGAGAAATCCAGAGTTTTCCAACGACACCAAGATCGCCTTATTCCGACCAAGATCGCCCAAGTTACAATATTTCCAAGATTTGGATTTCTTATTACCTTTTGAGGTTATATCTAATTTGGGTGATTACTTGGGACATGACTATAAAGGGATCTTTGGTTGGGTGGTTAGGAATGCAACTTTGACTTTTGGATTGGGGTGGCTAGAAGTTTCTAGCATGGGTTGCAAATGTTGCAACACCTACGCAAAATCCAACTAGATTGGATTTTGCATGTGACACCTCAAGGACCTCATGATGACAGTTGCATCCTTGCTGCTAGGAAGGTTCCTACCATCCTTCCCTAGCTCTTGGAGAACACCTTCCCTCTCATGGTTCTCTTGGAGTCCCCAACTCCAACTTTCTATGCCCTAATGTTTGTACTTCCTCAACCATACTAGTCATGCGGCTGCTTGACGTTTTTACTTGGTTCTCACTCTATAGACCATCTCAACGACTGATTCAACTTGGAGATGGTAGCTAAGTATAAGGCGCAACTTCCTACTGAGCGGATTTGCGTTTAGTTGAGTAATGAGTTCGTCGTAAGCTCTCAAAGTGACGGATCCTGAACAACAAATCATAGAGTAACGATCTGCGGGGTGTCAAATTTGAGAAATTGTTCGCCCGAGATCCAATCGATCGGCGCCGCCCGCGTATGAGGTATGTGCGGGGGGCTTTGAAGTAGCGGGACTTGGAGATTCCAGTCTTGGTTGTCGTCGTCGCTAAAGTCGTGGCGCGTGCTGAATGGATTGTTTTTTGAGAACGCTCCAATTGGGTGACGCGCTGGCTCAGGTGACAGTGAGCGCATGCGGGGGCGACGCGATCCGCTTGTCATTGTCATGTTCCCCATGACATTGCGGACGAGGGCAGTCGTTGGCTACTGGTGCTGATGCTGAACCGCTGGGTTCAGGTTCCACGATGGGGTTTGATGCCCATGGGCTGGGCGCGTGTCGTTTCGTGTGTCTTGTCGGCCTGACTAGTTGCTCGGATTGGTCTGACGAGGGCGAGATTGAAATTTGCATCAATTTGCCAGGTGCCCGAAGTTTCTGTCAAACTATATGTGCTGCTTGTTGTGTAGGCTGTAATGGGGTAGCTCATATAGGGTACAACACAAATTAGGGTTTCCTACTTGTACCCATCCTGCTGCTAGTTCATTCATTCCTGCTCGTTATTCTGACATGACTTCAGAGCAGGTCCTAGCCTAGGACCGAATTCTTAGGGCCTACCGAGTAGCGCTACCCCACCCGTCGCGCCACTGTGATCGCGTTGCACTGCCCTGCCCTGCCCTGCGCCGCCTGCTACAGCACGCACTGCTTTGCTTGCGCGCCGCCTGCTGCAGCGCGCCCTACTGAGCCGCGCGCCACGTGCAGCAGTGCGCCCTGCTTGCTCGCGCGACACGTCGCCGCATCGCCCTGCCCGCGCGTCGCGCCGCGCGCCCTGCCCTGCCCACGCACCGCGCTGCCACGCGCCCTGCCCTGCCCGCGCGCCGCGCTGCCGCGCACTCTGCCCTGCCAGCGCGCCGCCGTCGCGCGCCCTGCTCTGCCTGCGTGTCGTGCCGCTGCGCGCCCTGCCTTGCCGCGCGCCTCTGCCCTGCCAGCCCGCCGCCGTTGCGCGCTCTGCTCTGCCTGCGCGCCACGCCGCCGCGTGGCCTGCCCTGCCTGCGCGCCATGCCGCCGCGCGCCCTGTCCTGCCGCGCGCCTCTGCCCTGCCCGCGCGCCTCTGCCCTGCCGTGCGCGCCTTGCCCTGCCATGCCCGCCCTGCCCTGTCGTGTGCCCTGCCCTGTTGTGCGCGCCACGCGCCGCTCTCTGCTGCACTACTCCTAGCGCGCTCCCCTGCCTAGCTCGCTATGGCCACTCTCAATGTTCTCACCTTCGATTCAAAGGGCCGCCCGATAGAGTTCAATGTGTGGCTAGACGACTTACAGCTGTTCCTGCTGACAGACTCTAAGGACGGTACCTCACTGTTTGACCTCACTTCTGGTGCCTCGCCCGCCCCTGACGCCACAGCTGACAGTGCAACCTGCTCACAGTGGCTTACTCGTGACGCTGCTGCTCGCCTAGCCGTTCGCAACCACCTGCCGTCAGCCGAACGCGCCCACTTTGGCCAGCATAAGACAGCAAAAGCACTGTACGACGCTGTAGTCGCTCGTTACTCCTCCCCGGCCACTACTGCTCTAGGCCGCCTTCTCCTGCCCTACCTGTTCCCACACCTGTCCGCCTTTGCCACAGTAGCCGATCTAGTCACTCACCTCCGCACTATTGACACTCGCTACCGTGCTGCGCTCCCCGCCGAATTTCTCACCAAGAACCCCCCCCCCCCCCCCCCATGTACATCATGCTCTACTTCATAGTCACCGGCCTTCCTGACTCTCTTACAGCAGACAAGGACCTCCTCCTAGCACTTGACCCGACCGACCTCGCTGTCGACCTGCTCGAGAAGCACCTCCTAGCAGCTGAGACTAGCATAGTCGCTGTGGGCGCTTCTCGTGGCACTCCTCGCACCCCCTTCTTTGAGGGGTGTTCGCCCTCCCCCCTTCTCCCCTCAGTCGCCTCTGCTGCAGCTGTTGACTACCTTCGTGCTGAGGAGGTAGGAGCTGCGTCTGCCCCTAGTGGGAGGTGCTACAGCGGCAGGGGCAGGGGAGGCAGGGGAGGTGGGGGTGGCACAGGTGGAGGCGGTGGTGGGGGCGGTGGAGGCGGTGGTGAGGGCGGCGGTGGAGGAAGTGGTGGTGGTGGGGGCGGCGGGACAGGTGGCGGCGGTGGTGGCGGCAGTGGGAGTGGTGGCGGCAGCGGCGGTGGTGGCGGTAGTGGTGACAGTGGGGGTGGAGGCGGCGGCAGTGGGGGTGGCAGGGGTGGCATCAGCTAGAGGGGAGGCCTTGGAGGTGGCCAGCGGCAACAGCAGCAGCAGCATCAGGAGCTCCGTGAGTGGTTTTCTCAGCGTGGGGCGGCTGGGGGTAGTGGTCCCTGCCCGTATGTCATTTGCGCAGTTGACCGTACTGGTCAGACATGCGGGAGGTCTCACACTCAGCACCGCTGCTTCTACCGCCTTACCGACGCCTTCCGCGCAGAGTTCCCCGACGCGGCTGAGCTCCCCGACTGGGCGGCGCTGCTTAGGAAGAATGTTGATATCTTTGCTCTAGACTTTGATGCTATCCTACAATATCTGCCATGTATGCATTGTCTGTTAGTGCTGAGGGTGACTGTTACCTGTGTATGCCGCCAGACCCAAGTATAGAGGCTGATGCTCTAGGTGCTAGTGAGTCTGCTGCCCTAGGTGCTGGTGAGTCTGCTCTCTCTGGTACTACGTCTGCTGCGGCCCTACACGCCTTCACGCTTGACTCAGGTGCTTCCCGCTGTTTCTTTCGCGACAGTACCACAGTCACACCACTTACTGCACCTGTTGCTGTGTCTTTGGCTGACCCCACTCGGAGCCCAGTCCTTGCACGTTCCTCCACTGTTCTGCCCTGTCCAGCGGTTCCGTCTAGGTCACTGTCATGTCTCCACCTCCCCTCGTTCTCTACAAACTTGGTGAGCACAGCTGTCCTCCAGGATGCGGGGGTTGACACTTTCACCCCTGGACGGCAGCGTGTGGCGATCTGTACGTGCTCCTGGACTGGTCGCCACCTGGCCACGTTCACCCGTCGGCCTGGGTCGAGTCTGTACACACTGACTACTGCGCCTCCTCAGGTAGCTGCGTCTGCGTCTGCGTCAGGTCAACTTGCTGCCCCCTGCTCATGTCACGCCCTGTTGCACCAGACGCTCCTTTGGCACCACCGTCTTGGTCACCCCTCTGTGGCACGCCTTCGTGGCATGCACTCCCGTCTCCTTGTCTCTGGTCTTCCCAGGTCTCTGCCTCCCCTCCCACCCTCGCCTGCCCCTCCCTGCCTTCCCTGTGTTGAGGGGCGGCAGCGCGCCGCTCCTCACTCCTCCTCGTTCTCCCCGATAGAGGCTCCCCTGCAGACTCTCCACTTGAACGTGTGGGGCCCAGCCCGCGTCCGTGGACAGGGCCACGAGCGGTACTTTCTACTGGTTGTCGACGACTACTCGCGTTACACCACGGTCTTCCCCTTGCGCCGCAAGGGGGAGGTCCTTGATGTTCTGATCCCTTGGATCCGCGCTGTTCGTCTCCAGCTCCGCGAGCGGTTCGAGACGGACCTTCTAGTCCTGCGTCTGCACTCTGACAGAGGTGGTGAGTTTTCCTCCGACCTCTTGTGGACCTTCTGTCGTGCGGAGGGCATTCGCCAGACGTTCAAGGTTTCGGCCTCTCCGCAGCAGAATGGGGTTGCTGAGCACCGCATTGGCTTAGTCATGGAGGTCGCTCGTACCTCCATGATCCATGCGGCTGCCCCCCATTTTCTGTGGCCGTTTGCAGTCCAGTACGCTGCGCATCAGCTCAACCTCTGGCCCCGTGTCTCCTTGCCGGAGACCTCGCCCACACTGCGTTGGACGAGGGAGGTTGGCGATGCCTCGGTGTTCCGGGTCTGGGGATGTCGAGCCTTTGTCCACGATACGTCCGCGGACAAGCAATCCACCCGCGCCGTTCCCTGTGTCTTCCTTGGCTTTGTCCCTAACGCGCCTGGCTGGCAGTTTTACCACCCCACCTCGCGCCTTGTCCTGCCCTCTCAGGACGTCACGTTTGACAAGTCGGTTCCCTTTCACCGTCTCTTCCCCTACCGCACTGCCTCTCTCCCTCGTCCGCCGCACTTCCTAGCACCAGGTCCTCCTCCGGTAGACCCCCTTCCCCCTCAGGGTCCTGCTCCCTCAAGTGTGTTCCAGGTAGACCCTGTCGAGCCTATCAAGGTAGCTGTCAACTCTGGTACTGCTAGAGGTGGTGCGTCGGGGGGTGCTGAGCCTGCGGGTGCGGGGCCTGGGGGTGCTGAGCTTGAGCGTGCGGAGCCTGGGGGTGCTGAGCCGGGGGGTGCTGAGTCTGAGGGTGCGGAGGCTGGGGGTGCTGAGCCTGTGGGCGCGGAGCCTGGGGGTACTGAGCGTGAGCGTGCGGAGCCTGGAGGTGTTGAGCCTGGGGGTGCTGAGCCCGAGTGTGCTAAGCCTGGAGGCCCTTCGGGTGTCTTGTCGCGGCCAGAGTCTCTCTCTTCACTGCAGTTGCGCGAGTGGTTTTCTCGGCGCTGGAGCCTCCAGAGTGGTGCTGCTGGAGCTGGAGGTGCTGGAGCCACTAGTCCCGGTGATGCTCGTACTGGGGGTACTGGAGCTGCTGGGGCTGGAGGTACTACTGGAGCTACTGGAGGTGCTGGTTCTGCTGGAGCTGGAGCTGCTGGATGTACTGCTGGAGCTGGAGCTGCCGGAGAATCTGGAGCCACTAGTCCCGGAGGTGCTCGTACTGAGAGTACTGGAGCTGCTGGGGCTGGAGGTTCTACCGGAGCTGCTAGAGGTGCTGCTGGAGCTAAAGGTGCTTCAGGAGCTGGAGCTGGAGTTGCGGGCCTTTTGTCAGGCGGAGGGCATTCGCCAGACGTTCACGCTTCCGGCCTCTCCGCAGCAGAATGGGGTTACTGAGCGCCGCATTGGCTTGGTCATGGAGGTTGCTCGTACCTCCATGATCCATGCAGCTGCCCCCCATTTTTTGTGGCCGTTTGCAGTCCATTACGTTGCGCATCAGCTCAACCTCTGGCCCCGTGTCTCCTTGCCGGAGACCTCGCCCACACTGCATTGGACGGGGGAGGTTGTCGATGCTTCGGTGTTCCGGGTCTGGGGATGTCGTGCCTTTGTCCGCGATACGTCCGCGGACAAGCTCTCCTCCCGCCCCGTTCCCTGTGTCTTCCTTGGCTTTGTCCCTGACGCGCCTGGTTGGGAGTTTTACCACCCCACCTCGCGCCGTGTCTTGCCCTCTCAGGACGTCACGTTTGACAAGTCGGTTCCCTTTTACTGTCTCTTCCCCTACTGCATTGCCCCTCTCCCTCCTCCACCGCTCTTCCTAGCACCAGGTCCACCTCCGGTAGACCCCCTTCCCCCTCAAGGTTCTGCTCCCTCACGTGTGTCCTAGGTAGACCCTGACGAGCCTGTCGAGGTAGCTGTCGACTCTAGTGCTGCTAGAGGTAATGCGTCGGGGGGTGCTGAGCCTGCGGGTGCGGGGCCTGGGGTTGCTGAGTTTGAGCGTGCGGAGCCTGGGGGTGCTAAGCCTGGGGGTGCTGAGTCAGAGGGTGCGGAGCCTGGGGGTGCTCAGCCTGAACGTGCGGAGCCTGGAGGTGCTGAGCCTGGGGGTGCTGAGCCCGAGTGTGATGAGCGTGGAGGCCCTTCGGGTGTCTTGTCGCGACCGGAGTCTCTCTCTCCACTACAGCTGCGCGAGTGGTTTTTCTGGAGCCTCCGGAGTGGTGCTGCTGGAGCTGGAGCTGCGGGAGGTAATGGAGCCACTAGTCCCGGAGATGCTCGTACTGGGGGTACTGGAGCTGGTGGGGCTGGAGGTACTACTGGAGCTGCTGGAAGTGCTGGTTCTGCTGAAGCTGGAGCTGCTGGATGTGCTGCTGGAGCTGGAGCTGCCGGAGGTGCTGGAGCCACTCGTCCCGAAGGTGCTCGTACTGAGGGTACTGGAGTTGTTGGGGCTGGAGGTACTACTAGAGCTGCTGGAGGTGCTGCTGGAGCTAGAGGTGCTTCTGGAGCTGGAGTTGGAGTTGCTGCTGGAGCTGGAGCTGGTGGAGGTACTGGTGCTGTCGGTGCTGGTGCAGGGGGTGCTGTGCGACCGCGACCGTACTTCGTTCCACTGCTTCAGCAGGTTCTTGGTCACCCGCCTTCTGCTGACCTTGCTCCTCCCTTCCTGTGTCCACCACCTGACCAGTCCCAGCCACAGCTACTGCCAGCCTCTCCGCCGCCTGCTCCTTCTCCTTACACTGAGCAGCGCGGAGGTCTTACTGACTACGTGAGCCTGCGTCTCATCCTGCGCCGCCTGTTCGCCTTGGTCGCACTGGTCGTCGTGTTCCGCGTCCGCGTCCTCCTGCTGTCCTCGGCACACACCAGATGGCACTTCGTCGTTCCTCTGCCACTACGTGTCTCTCTGCCGTCTCCTCCTACGTCCTCCCTTGCTGACGGTCCGGACCTGCAGTCTGACTCCCTTCGTGCTGCTCGTCCTACTGTCACGCGTCTCCTGGCCTCTGTTGTCATTGACCCTTCCTTTGAGGCACTGCCTCTAATGAAGTTGGAGCTGCAGAAGAGACATACGTGCACAGACCTAGGTGAGCTGCGCAGCTATCTTGGCTTGCAGATCACCCGGGACAGAGCACACCGCACCATTACCTTGACTCAGTCACACATGGTGCAGCAGGTCCTTCAGCGCTTCGACTTCCGGTACTCCTCGCCATAGGCCACTCATCTGCCTACTGGTCACTCGCTCTCAGCGCTACCTTCGGATGAGTCCCTAGAGCCGAGTGGCTCGTATCCAGAGCTTGTGGGCTGCCTCATGTACCTGATGACCTGCACTCGACCTGACCTTGCTTACCCTCTTAGCATCCTGGCACGCTACGTTGCACCCGAGAGATACCGACCAGAGCACTGGAAGTGTGAGGATCTAGGATCGAGCTCAGAAAAGAGAATTTTAATAGAATGATTCACCTGGGTACAACACGAGGCTATATATAGTCTCGACACAAGGCAAGCTACACAGGTGTTACGCAAATGTTCTGAGGGTCGCGAAGCGTCCCGAACAGAACCTTCCCGAACTTAGTAGAAAGCAATTCGGTGGAAACCGAATAGGCTTAAGTTCGGTACACGTAACCCGGTTCGGTGCTATAACTATAATGGAATATAGGAATGCACCTAAACTAGGAAATCAAGCATATCTATGCATGATAAGAAAACCCAAGCTAGATATAGCATAATAAAGTCTAGGCAAGCTAGCAAAGCCAGCATAAGCCGTCGTACTCTCACACGTCCCCCCCTCAAAGCTGGGTGGCGTGAGAAACACCCTGCTTGACAAGATAGGTCTTGAGAGCATGGCGTGCGTTGCCCATATCAGCTTCTGCAACCCAACTGTCCTTAGTGGGGTTGTATCCCTTCCTGCGTATCAGGAACTCGAGGGCCTTGCCGCCACGGCACTGATGAGTGAGAACACGTTCCACTTCATACTCTGGTTCATCGTGTACGAGAATAGGTGGTGGTGGCGGTAGCTGCCGTCCCTGGAACTGTTGGTTGGGGTCCTTCTAGGGCTTCAATAGCTGAACATGGAAAGCGTTGTGAAGCTTCCAAGTAGTAGGTAAGCGCAAGCGGAATGCTACTGGTGTCACATATGCCTCAACGAGAAAAGGACCACAGAAGCGAGGCTGGAGTTTGGATGGGAGAGTCTCGTGAGACAGGCGACGACACGAACAGGAGGCAGACTCAGGACCAGACCTGGACGCTGCAGCGAACACCTGACCTGACGAAGGGACCCTACCAGACTCAGGAACTGGAGGAGAAGCAGTGGTCAGTGTGTACAGGCTCGACCCTGGGTTCCGTGTAAACGTAGCCAGGTGACGACCTGTGCTAGCCTCTGTGCAGTGCGTCACTCGCTGACGAGCAGGAGTGAACTGGTTGACTCCCGCATCTTGTAGGTCAGCACCACTCACCAAGTTCGTAGAGAACGAGGGGAGGTAGAGACCAGACAGGGTGCCAGAGGGAGCCGCCGGACACGGGAGGACTGTGGAGAAGCGAGACAGAACAGGACCCCCAGAGGGGTCAGCCAGGGACACCGCAACCGGCCGACTAAGCGACGTGAGTGTGGTGCGGTCCCGAAAGAAGGAGCGAGACGCTCCAGAGTCAAGGGTGAAGGTGTGGGAGGCCGAAGCCGACGCAGTACCTGAGAGCGCAGACTCACTAGTGCCTGAGAGAGCAGCCTCACCAGTACCTGAGAGCACAGACGCACTGGCACCTAGAGCAGAAGCCTCGCTGGCACCTAGAGCAGCAGTACCAATGCCCGGGTCGGGCGGGAAACACCGGTAACAGTCACCCTCATCACTAATGGTCACAGCATACATGGCAGCAAGGATAGCATCAAAGTCAAGATCAAAGATAGCTACACAAGACCTAGACAGCTCTCCCCAGCGGGGGATCTCCGCGGCCTCCGGGAACTGCTGACGCCAAGCGTCCGTCAGGCGGCCAAAGCAGCGCTGGGCGGTGTGGGTACCCCCACACTGCTCTCCAGCGCGGTCGCCAGTGCGAAGAACGTAGGTGCAGGGACCAAAACCCCCACCACGCTGACGCTGCGTGTACCACTCACGGAGCTGCTGAGGGGTGGGGACGTCGCGAGAACGCTGCTGCTGCTGCTGGCGCTGACCACCCCCAGTGCTGCTCCGCTGCGAAGCGCCACTCCGACCACCTCCACCACCGCCACCCCCGCCTTCGCCTCCACCGCCCCCGCCTCCGCCTCCACTGCCGCCGCCTCCGCCACCTCCGCTCCCACCGCCACCGACGCCGCCACTCCCGCCTCCACTGTCGCCACTAGCACCCCCACCCCCGCCACCACCTCCACCGCCACCCCCACTCCCTCCGCCGCCTCCACCTCCACCTCCACCGCCCCCGCTGGCCCCACCCGCTCCCTTGCCCCCCTTGCCCTTGCCAGAGCGGCGTCTCCCGCTAGGGGCAGACGCCGCACCGACCGACTCAAGACCAACAAGGTCGGCCGCAGCGGCAGAGGCGACAGAGGGCAAGAGAGGGGAAGGAGAACACCCCTCAAAGATGGGGGCGCGGGGGTCACCTCGAGAGGCTCCTACAGCGACTATGCTCTTCTCCGCCGCTAGGAGGGCCTTCTCGAGGCTATCGACTGTGAGGGTGGTGGGACAGACAGCGAGGAAGTGGTCCCGGACTACACGAAGGGAGTCAGGGAGGCGAGTGACTAAAAAGTAGAGAGTGATGTACATGGGGGGGGGGTTCTTGGCGCAGAAGTCAGCAGGAAGCGCAGCGCGGTAGCGAGTGTCACTAGTGCGGAGGTGCGTAATGAGATCAGCGATAGTGGGAAAGGCGTCAAGGTCAGGGAAGAGGAAGGGTAGCATGAGGCGGCTCAGTGCAGCAGTGGCAGGGGAGGAGTAGCGCGCAACTACAGCGTCGTACAAGGTCTGGGCACTCTTGTACTGGCTAAAGTGCGCGCGCTCAGCGGTAGGCAGGTGGCGACGCACAGCAAGACGTGCAGCAGCATCGCGCGTGGCCCATTGTGAGCGAACAGTGGCGTCAGCATCAGCAGCAGGGGCAGGGACGGCGCCAGAGGTGAGGTCAAAGAGAGAAAGACCGTCTGCCCTATCGCACTGTAAGAACAGCTGCAGGTCGTCGACCCAGACCTCAAAGTCAATGGCGCGACCCTCAGCGTCAAAAGCTAGGACACTAGGGGTAGCCATGACGACAGACTAGCAGTGCAAGCAGTGTGGGAAGGGGCACGCAGTAGCAGTGAGGCCGTGCTCACCAGACAGGGCAGGTCGGGCGGCTCGGCAGCAGGGCGGCCCCGCAGCAGGGCGGCTCGGCAGCAGGGCGGCTCGGCAGCAGGGCGGCTCGGCAGCAGGGCGGCTCGGCAGCAGGGCGGCTCGGCAGCAGGGCGGCTCGGCAGCAGGGCGGCTCGGCAGAAGGGCGGCTCGGCTGCGGGGCGGCTCGCCTGTACTGCGGCCCGGCGGTTCGGCGGCTCGACGGCTGCTACTGGGCGGCTCGGTGTCAAACATTTATATATTTGTGTGGTTCTAGGCTGTAGTGGGTCACACTATAAGGGGTACACCAGATTAGGGTTTGACATATTTGTACTGTTGTTCCTGCTAGTCACTCCTCATTCTCGTTTCTCATTCTGACATGGTATTAGGAGCCTAGGTTCCACCTAGGACCGAAACGATAGGGCCCACCGTTTCCGCTAGCCGCGCCCTCGTGCGCCGCCGTTCTTTTTCCTGCGCCTCGAGCGCCTCCTTCTCAAGGCCCCGTATGGCCCCGCGCTAGCCTCTCACGGCCCCCGATCGGCCCTGCGCTAACCTCCTAAGGCCCCCGTTGGCCCCACGCTAGCCCCGCGCTAGCCTCCTAAGGCCCCCGATCGGCCCCGCGCTAGCCTCCTAAGCCCCCGTTGGCCCCACGCTAGCCCCGCGCTAGCCTCCTAAGGCCCCCGATCGGCCCCGCGCTAGCCTCCTAAGGCCCCCGTCGGCCCCGCGCTAGCCTCCTAAGCCCCTGTCAGCCCCGCGCTAGCCTCTCACGGCCCCTTAAGGCCCCACGCTAGCCTCCCACGTCCCCTGCAGGCCCCGCGCTAGCCTCTCACGGCCCCCCCTTTGGCCCCGCGCTAGCCCCGACCGGCCCTCCCGCGCTCGCCCCTCTATGACCGAGCCGCACGGCGCGACCCGAACCGAACCGCGCGACCCAGCCGAGCCGCGCCGCCCCAGCCAAGCCGCGCCGCCCTAGCCGAGTCGCGCCGCCCTAGCCGAGTCGCGCCGCCCTAGCCGAGCCGCGCCCTACTTACGTGTGCACAGCACTGCTACTGCTACTACTACCACTGCTGCTACTGCTACTTCAGCTATGGCTAGCCCTACAGTTCTCTCGTTCGATTCTGAGGGCCGCCCGATTAAGTTTGATACCTGGCTCGATGATCTGCACCTGTTCCTCCAGCTCACTGCCAGAGAGGATATCTCGCTGTACGATCACGCACTAGGCACAGTCCCTGCTCCTGCTACTACTGCTACCGCTACTGCTCGCTCGCAGTGGCAGACTCGCGATGCCCACGCCCGCTTTGCCATTCGCAACTCCCTGCCAGTCGATGAGCGTGAGCACTTCGGCCAGCATCAGACTGCGCAGGCCCTGTACACTGCTGTAGTTGCGCGCTACTCCTCCCCGGCCTCAGCTGCACTAGGCCGTCTCTCCCTTCCCTACCTGTTCCCCGACCTGTCCGCTTTCCAGACAGTCGCTGACCTCATCACTCACCTCCGTACTAGTGATGCCCGCTTCCGTGCAGCCATGCCCGCTGAGTTTCTTGCCTCCAACCCTCCCCCGCTCTGGCTCACTCTCTACCACCTAGTCACCCGCCTCCCTGACACTCTGCGTACAGTCAGGGACCACTTCCTAGCTCGCTGTCCCACTGAGCTCACCATTGCCGCCCTAGAGAAGGAACTACTTGCAGCTGAGAAGAGTATTGTAGCTGTAGGTGCCTCTCGTGGCGACCCCCGCACCCCTTTCTTCGAGGGGTGTTCCCCCTCCCCCCTCCTCCCCTCTGTCGCCTCTGCTGCTGCTGTCGACCTTCTTGGTGCTGAGCAGGTCGGCTCTGCGTCCGCTCCCAGCGGGCGCCGCAGCGGCAAGGGCAGGGGAGGCAAGGGCGGTGGGGGTGACGGCGGGGGAGGTGGTGGTGGGGGTGGTGGCAGCGGCGGGGGCGGTGGCGGGGCTGGAGGGGCTAGTGGCAGCGGTGGGGGTGGTGGAGGCAGCGGCGGCGGCGGTGGCCGCGGTGGGGGCGGTGGTGGTGGCGGCAGTGGACGTGGCGGCGGCAGGGGCGGTGGTGGTGGAGGCGGCGGTGGTGGTCGTGGAGGCTCTGGCACTGGCCAGAGCGCGCAGCACCCTCAGTCCTCCCAGGAGCTTCGTGAGTGGTACTTACAGCACGGGGGTGGGGGGGGTAGCCTTAGCTGCACGTACGTCATCCGCACTGGTCGCCGCAAGGGACAGACGTGCGGGAGGGCGCACACTTCGCAGCGCTGCTTCTCTCGCCTAGATGACGCTTGGCGTGCTCAGTTTCCTGACGCTCCTGAGCTCCCTCAGTGGGCTGATCTCCTCAAGAAGGATATCGATATCTATGCTCTTGATTTTGATGTTATTCTCAAAGCAATGTATGCATTGACTATTAGTGGAGAGGAGGACCAGTACCTGAGTGTTCCGCCTGACCCAGGCATCCGCACGAGTGAGGCTACCGCCCTAGGTGCTTGCGTGTCTGCTGCCCCAGGTACTGGTGAGGCTACTGCTCTAGGTGCGTGTGTGTCCGCCACCCCAGGTGCTACTGAGTCCACTAAGGCACTGCACACCTTCACTCTAGACTCAGGCGCTTCGCGCTGTTTCTTTCGTGACCGCACTGCTCTTGAGCCCCTTGCTCGACCAGTCGCTGTCTCGCTCGCTGACCCCTCTGGGGGTCCGGTCATTGCGACCTCCTCCACCCTCCTTCCTTGTCCTGCTGTCCCGTCGGGCACACTGTCAGGTCTCCACCTCCCCTCGTTCTCTACGAACTTGGTGGCGGGTTGTGTGCTTCAGGATGGGGGTGTTCACCAGTTCACCCCTGCCTACGAGCGTGTGACACACTGCACGTGTGCTCGGACGGGCCGTCACCTGGCTACCTTCACTCGGCAGCCGGGGTCGGACCTGTACACACTGACCACTGAGTCCCCTCAGGTAGCGGCGTCTGCGTCTGCGTCTGCGTCAGGTCAGCTCTCTGCCCCCTGCTCGTGTCGCTCTCTAGCGCACAAGACTGTCCTCTGGCACCACCGACTTGGTCACCCGTCAGTGCAGCGCCTTCGGGGCATGCACGCCCGGTACCTTGTCTCTGGTCTTCCTCGGGTACTCCCTCCCCTCCCACCCTCCCTTGCTCCTCCTTGTCTTCCCTGTGTCGAGGGGCGGCAGCGCGCTGCCCCTCACTCCTCCTCGTTCCCCCCTGACGACTGCTCCTTTGCAGACGCTCCACATGGACGTGTGGGGCCCAGCCCGCGTCCGTGGTCAGGGCCAGGAGAGGTACTTCTTGATCGTCGTTGACGACTACTCGCGCTACACCACGGTCTTCCCCTTGCGCACCAAGGGTGAAGTCCCTGATGTTCTGATCCCCTGGATCAGCAGAGCACGTCTTCAGCTGCGAGAGCGTTTTCGCTCGGAGTTTCCTGTTCTGCGCTTGCACTCTGACAGAGGTGGCGAGTTCTCCTCCGACCTCTTGGCAGCCTACTGTGCCGAGCATGGCATTCGCCAGTCGTTCACGCTCCCGGCCTCTCCACAGCAGAATGGGGTTGCTGAGCGCCGCATTGGCTTGGTCATGGAGGTCGCTCGTACCTCCTTAGTCCACGCGGCTGCCCCCCACTTTCTGTGGCCGTTTGCGGTCCGGTACGCTGCGCATCAGCTCAACCTCTGGCCCCGTGTCTCCGCTCCGGAGACCTCGCCCACACTGCTGTGGACGGGGGAGGTTGGCGATGCGTCACGCTTCCGTGTCTGGGGATCCCGAGCTTTTGTTCGCGACACGTCTGCGGACAAGCTCTCCTCCCGCACTGCTCCCTGTGTCTTTCTTGGCTTTGTCCCGGATGCGTCTGGCTGGCAGTTTTACCACCCCGCCTCGCACCGAGTCTTCCCCTCTCAGGACGTCACTTTTGACGAGTCCGTGCCCTTCTACCGCCTCTTCCCCTACCGCACTGCCCCGCTCCCTCCCCCGCCTCTCTTCCTCGCGCCAGGTGCTGCAGTGGTAGACCCCCTTCCCCCTCAGGGTGCCGCTCCCTCAGGTGTCTCTCAGGTAGACCCGGTTGAGCCTGCCGAGGTAGCTGTCGACTCACGTCCTGCTGGAGGTGCTGAGCCTGAGCGTGCGGAGCCTGAGCGTGCGGAGCCTGAGCGTGCGGAGCCTGAGCGGGCGGAGCCTGGGGGTGCTGAGTCTGGGGGTGCTGATCCTGGGGGTGCTGAGCCTGGGGTTGCTGGGTTTGGGGGTACTGAGCCTGGCGTTGCTGAGTCTAGGGGTACTGCGCCTGGAGTTGCTGAGCCTGGGGGTGCTGAGCCTGGTGGTGTTACAGTTGACTGTGAGGCGCCTGGAGGACCTCCCTCTTCGCAGCAGCTGCGTGAGTGGTACTCACGGTACTGCAGCCTCCGGCGGGGTGAGTCTCGGGCTCGTGGTACTGCTGGAGTTGGTACTCGTGCTTCCCCACCACGGCGGGAGCCGCCCTCTTCCCCTCAGCTTCGAGAGTGGTACGCTCGGCACATCAGTCTCCGTAGTGGAGCTGCTGGTGCTGGGGTCCCCGGAGTTGACGCTGCTGCGAGTACTACGGCCCCTGGTGCTGGAGGTGCTGCTGCTACTGGCGGTGCTGCTGGAGGTGCTGCTGCTGCTGGCGGTGCTGGTGGAGGTGCTGCTAGTACTGAGGACCCGGGCGTTGGAGCTGCTGTGGGTGCTACGGACCCTGGTGCTGGAGGTGCAGCTGCTACTGGCGGTGCTGCTGGAGGTACTGCTGCTGCTGGCGGTGCTGCTGGAGGTGCTGCTGGAGGTGCTGCGGACCCTGGTGCTGGAGGTGCTGCTGCTTCTGGAGGTGCTGCTGCTGCCGCTGGTGTCTCTGCTGGTTCGAGAGCTGCTGCACGGCCACGACCGTACTTCGTTCCGCTCCTTCAGCAGGTTCTTGGTCAGCCTCCTCCTCCTTGTTCTCCTCTCGCCTTAGAGTGTCCGCCG